CCTGATTTACCTTCTTCTCGCAATGGCCCGAGAACTTCAGCTCATTGTCAACATACACACCTAGGTCCTTCTCACATTGTCTCAAATAGTGCAGTTTCTTCATCCCGTTAGGACATATGATACGCCTCCTTACCGTTGGTATGCCCCAGGTGCATCCTCTTACACTTCGTGACATTGAATATCAGCAGCCATTTCTTCGACCATTCTTGGAGCCCACAGAGGTCCTTCTGCAGCTCTTCACAGTCCGCTTGGTTCTTGATTTCCCGAAATTGGCGTCATCGGCAAACATTTGTATGGAGGAGTGTACAACGTCAGGCATGTCATTTATGAAACAAACAAACAACAATCATGGTCCCTTAGTCTAGATTTTTTACCCTCCGTCGGGTCTTTTAACCAGGGAGGTGTTATATGACCCACAGTCCCACTGGTCCGTCACCTCGCCAGACACCAAGGGTAGCCAACGCCAACTATCAACTTTTGTATTGAAAATGATTCGAGCTGCAGCGATTGGAGTGTGATCAGTCAGAGGTTGTACCAGCTCGCCACACAGATACCAAGCCCAATCATAACCACTTTTCTAATTACTGTAATTATACCCTTAAGAAAAAAAATCAATTGGAAGTGATAGGGATAACAGAGACTGGAGCGTAATCTATATACATAACGGAAATGTTTTCGCTCGTGACCTACACACTCGCACAGGGATATATATCCGTTGCCGGGGAGGAAAATAGTGTAGAAAAAGAGGAAGTGTTATTGTCCAATTGATTCGTGGTACAGGGTAATGATATTATTATTATTATTGTTAGTAGTCGTAGTAGTAGTACTAGGTCTTTTATGGTGATAGTTGTATTATCATGCCGTATTAATATGGTAAAAGAGGGGTATAATCGTGTAGGTAATATTTAGTCTTTTGGGAGCAAGAGGTGTGAATGTGTTTCCAAAGGTACTACGTGAACGCTAGCCAGGTAACGTTAAAGTGTTTTATCACTGAGTATAATAAGCAGGGGTGCTTAATCTTCAAATTGATCCGGCTTTTGTTGAGGTGGTATTCTAAAGTACCACATACAGGTGTATTTTTAATTAAGGTGCTCCGTTGTAATTTGAATCTATTCTGTAGATCATTCTCGTGCTTTAGCGTAAGTCAGTTGGTCAGCGTGCTCTTACATTTCCAGTCATGGGGAAAATTGAACGTTCCAAGTTTAGCGTATCCAAGCCCGAGGAACTGGGAGATCGAGCCGCTGTGGCAGATTCTCGACAGTTTGTGGTAAATATAGAGATAGGTAAACAGATAGATATTTACTTAGTAAATTCGTAATACCTGTATAAGTTTACACCTGTTCAATACTAATCAGACAGTGCAGGTATACAATCATATTAATCAAGGTGGAATAATAAAGTTGTTGGAGAATTATTTCCACGAAGTATTTTTAATTTAAATATATTGAATACAATAATCTTCACCATACAATCAATATTACCACAAGGAAGCACAATCAGACACTCACGGCCACTAGCTAAAAATACAGTTCCACAACTTCCACATAGCAAGCTACCTGAGCCTCCAAAGATCACCGTGCACTTGGCGCCATAACTCAGCCGACGCGCGGCCGGATATAGACTCAAGTCTCGCCATTATCACTACACACCTTGTATATAGCACGGTAGCTCTCACCATCAAAGACAGGTGAGGCCCTAGAGATACCTCAACCCTCATAAACTTTCAACGAATCAAAACAAATCGTAGCGCGCCTCCTGTGTTTGCCTCGTCACTATGGCAGCCCCGCAACAAACACGTTTACACCTTCACACTCACCATTGTGTTAACACATTCCTCCGCCTCCCAGCTCGAGCACAGCCGTATCATCCTACTATCAATCACCCACCCGCGCCCTCTAAACACGTGCCACCATTTTTCGCAATGGGCCAAATTTAGACCTCAACTACCAAAACACCTTTCTCTCATCGCTTCGTCTACACCAGAGTTGGCTGCACATAGTCCTGCCAAGATATAGGTAAGTGAACACAATCTAGTGGCCCCGAGCGATGGTCTCGAGGATAACTAGCCAGACGCTGCGTTTGTTTGACAGGAGAATTTCAAGAGGAATCCGAGTGTTTACGTGACGTCTCTCTGTGGAAGTTACCTCTGTTGGAGCTAGACACCAACTCAACAACATAATCAGTATACACTTACACACGAGTTTGCTCTTTATGTAATAATGAGAATTCAATTGAATTATTTTAACAACAAAACTGTTAGGAAGAATTACTCGAGATATAAAATTTATGTTTTCTGTACACTTTCTCATACTGTAGGTAGTAGGCAGATAACAAACAGGGAGGTACTACCGCCTGGGAAGATATTGGAAGCATAATGTATTGTCTACTGGCAGACCCTGCTGCCATATGGCATCACGAAAATTTTGACCACGTCCCAGGTTGCTTATCTGACTTTCTGCCGCATTTACACACAATTGCAGTCTCATTTGTTTCTCTTACTTTGACGACACATAATACATGCTGTATGTCGTTTCTCACTTGATTTTTTTTTCCATTTTTGTATTTCTTTGTGGTTCATTATTATTATTATTATTACAGTGTTCTTATAATTATCTTTATTTTATTATTTTATTTTTATTTTTTTATTATAAATTTTATTTCCTAGGAATTATTATTATTATTACATTTTCGCCCCCCAGGCCCCGATGTGGGTCAGTGACCTGTGCCCGGGTGGGCTAATCCCCGTAAAAAAAAAATACGATTGTTGCATGTCATAATAATATGAAGCTATACATAGGATCAGAGCTTTGAAGTAGAGGAAATTGTGGGGTAAACAAAAAGCAAAAAATAAAAAATAAAAACTAACCTAACCAAACTTAAACCTGTTATGGTCAGTTTATAATAGAAGACCTAATTATAATCTTAGGAATTTTATATTTAGACACATTTCTTGTATGACGTTTCCCTCGCAAACGACCAGGGGTTGGAGAGAAGGCCCCAGGTTAGGTGATTTGCGAAGGAAACGTCATAGAAATTTCCTAGAATTGTCCAGATTATTGATTGTAAAGATAAAATTATCAAGATTCAAATTATATCATCTACTATAAATTGATTCCCAACCTTACCTTAATTATCAGATACTGGAGGATGTGATGCTACTTGTAGGTACTTTGTCCGGTATTATTTCGCTTGTAGGTAATTTTATAGTTGCATCGGTAGTTTTGACAATTCTAAGACACTTTACTTCAATGGCAATTAAGGCGCAAATTACGTTTAAGCGGGATATTTAACATTTCATTATGTATGTTCGTACATGGCGGTACACACCCAGTACATCGAACGACGTAGCGGTACACACCTAGAACATTTATTTTGACGATACTGAGTCTGATTCGCACTTTGTACACTTCACAGAACCATGAAGGATTTGCCAAGCTGTGGAAGAACACCCGTTGCAACATGAATTGTCTGTGCCACAGAGAATCCCTGCTGCGACTAGCCAACTAAGCCAGGCAAAATTCGAAACTCAGCAACGCTAATTGGCGGGACAGTGTTAAGTAAGATATAAACAGTCTCCCGCCACAATACACATACGTACAGTAATTTCTTAAAAGGAAAAAAAAATCGACAAATATAAACTTGCGACGGAAACGTAGTTATTATTTTTTTCTATCTCCCTATATAAATATCAAAACATAATGTTTCGTGGTAGACAATTTCCGAATTTTAACCCATTTTTTCTTATAAATACATATACACCACTAAAGTTCACACGCTGAAATTCATTTATCTACAAGTTGCAAATAGAATATCACTCCTTATATACATATAACACCTCGGATCTAATTACCCTGTATATATGTTATACAGCTAATTTTTCGATATTTTTTGCATTAGTGCACACAACTTTACAGTATATTCGAATAAGACGTCTAATTTTAAGATAATTTTCTTATATTACATTACCGTCGCAAACGTATAATAACGGAAATATCGCATGCCAGATATTTCTCTATTTTCTTCCATTAATCTTCCGCCATTATCGCCTCCCACTCGGCGGGTTTCCTTCATAATTCGCCATGCGCATGCGTTCTACATGCACGTCACGCGGCCAATCAAAAGCGTTTTTTTTTTGAAGGGGGGGTTCACTAATTAAAATAAATTGTGGTTTAATTCGCGGTATTTTTTATCCAATCAGATTCGATTGTGATTTTGGGTCTCATATTTCGAAATTCAAATTCATTTCCGATCATGGAAGTCTGCGATGGGTGTCACTTTAATTATATGGAGTTGATTGAGCAATTTTTGGAAAAAAAAGAACAAGCTATAGCATTTTTTAGATGTCATGGTGTTCTCCCGACATAAGTAAAGTGTCCTTAGTGTAAGAACGAGTGTAAATATCGTCAAGCTCAAGACCAACACAGTTGGCATTGTAGTAACTCGTTCCTTATTCCCAAAACAAAGAGACGTTGGTGTTCGTACACCGTCAGTGATTACAAAGGAACCAGAACCAGGCCAATAAGGTAAGAAATAAGTTATTCCATCATTTGGTGAGAGTTAGGTTAGGTCATCCCCCCCCCCCAAAAAAAAAAGGTTCTTTTTTTCTTTTCTTTTTTTTTTTGTATTCGCTTGGCCACGATTTTTGCCTGAAAACGCCCCACCCAAAACATCCGATAACAAAAAACCGGCAATTTTCGACGGAAATCAAGGTCGGAACCAATCAAAACACAAAAATACACAAGAAAAACATAAGTTTGACTTTCTAACAGAGTTGTGTGCACCAATACAAATTTACCAATTTTTCAAGCCCTGAAGCGTTATTCACTTAACATATAACACACGTCACCTTTACTAACATTTAATCTAAACACCAAATTACCGGGCAAATAATGTGCCAAAACACCAATGTAAAACACGTAGCTATGATGTTAAGAGTATCTGCTCACTATCGGGATGTTACTATCCTCGTAATTTGGATAAACTTAACGTATTTCACCTACCTGCCAGTCGAAGGTTACGAGAACTGCGTTTCTTTTCCAACCAGCGTTCTTTACGTAGCCATTCATCCAGGTTAGCGTTGATGTCCAGCGCCTGTCTCTGCTGGATGCTTTGTTGGGAACCACTCCCACGGCGGGAATCTTTATTCGCGCGCAAGGGAAGCGTGGCAGCGGTGTGATACCATGAATTAACGGCGTCGTCATGAACTCGGCTGCCGTCTGCTTGGCCTCGCTGAACGGTATCCCTGAGGTAGGTGACGCCGGGACACACTTCTGTTGAGCAGTCCTCCAAAATATCTTCACTCTCACTGCTGCTGCTACAACTACTGCTGGTACTACTACTACTGCTGCTGCTATTGTAAGTCGAGTGACCACCACGTGTTTCTGGGATATGTCGCGAACTGCTGGACTGGCAGGGTTCTGATATGCAAGATGTTAACTCGGAAGATGCTGGTTGAGTTGACGACACCATCCCATCCTCCCTGGCGTCCTCCTTGATGTCGGAAGTAGACGTATCGTGCGCCTTCTTCTTGCGTCGCCAGGGAAGGTCTATACTGAAGGAGTTACTGCGAGGTTTACAAGCTACCCTAACAAGGTTCTGGTACAGATGATCAAGGTCGAAGGAGCGAGTATGAGACAGTTTCTTATGTCGAGGGTTGGGCACTTGCTGCTTGAGGCTAGGTGATGGCAGGTCCTTCTCTTGGTTGCTTTGGGGTCGAAGAGATGGGACATTATTCTTGCGGGAAACCACAGCTGAAGGTGGCAGCTTGGGCGATGCAGGACACGAGGAGTAGGCTCGTGTGAGCGGCTGGTTCTGGGCTGTCAAGTGCCCACGAGGGAGTGACGCCCCGCGGCTACGGCCCGACGGCAGCGGTGGAGGCAGGTTGTAATATACGTTGGCGTCTGTCAAGAAATCCATATCAGCTGCTTCAACACTGGGGTCTGGCCTGACACCGCCCGTGTTAATATAAGTGTGACGCATTTCTATCCTAGCCTGACCTGGGGCGGCGCCTGCCACACTATTGTTACTCTTAGTATTCATATTCGGGGTTGAAAATAAGTACGAAACTCATCACTCACATTAATGACTGGACACTTGTAAATTCCCTTGACGTCACATGGTCGTTTAGTATGTTTACAACATGTAACTTACCGATCCTTGACAAGTCATATATTTTTATAAATAGTTAATAATCATGTAACACGCCCAATTGTCACCTATACCATCACCGATAGTGAGTTTCAACTTTCACTTCTAATGTTTACAAGACGAATACTGTAAACGATCGAAAAACGGCCATGTGGATATTGAAGCAAGAACACAGGCACACACTCCCACACGAGTAGAGAGCACACATGCTACTGACCCTCTGTGGTGCTTTGTGTGAATCACTTGCCTCCCACCCCTAGTTTCCCAGATGCCCGCTGAGGTGCCATCCACTAATTTTCATTTATATTCTACATTCATTGTGCCCATGAAAATTATTGACGAATTTAAATACAGATGTTTAGTTTTCTCTTACGTCTTGGTGTTTGAAATATTGAGAAATGAAAATTAACTTCTGCGTGCTGGTAAATTATTGAAATTATATCAGACATGGAGTTATTTCCCGAGAGTAACCTGATGGTTGTAGACGTGCCAGGAAATCAGTGTTGTCATTTAGTGAGCGAACTTTTTCCTTAAGTTCCCCTCGAAAAATTCCTCCAAGTTATTTCCGTGACAAAATATAAACAATGCCAAATAGGACATTACTTTCTAACCGCAAGGTTAATGTCGGCTGCCAAGCGTAGCCATAATTCGCTTCGTGGATATAATTTGACCTCATTTCCCCCAATCACTGTACTGCTGTAATTTTAGAAATGTCATTAATCCCTCCTGGGTTCATGTTTAACTTCCCATAGAATAGTTCCATCAAAACTCCGTTATATTTCTTAGTCCAGTTACGGTACTGCACTTATGACTGTACGCACGCATTGTCTACTTACATGACAGTAGGGGTAAACACAATTGAACTACAGTACTTCAAAATTAACCTTATTTCCAATCAGTAACCGTGGCCTCTCTTATTTGTTCTGGATATTCCAGCCTACACGAGGAACTATAATTCTTAGGTAGGACTTTACTGTAAAATAATTTGCCCATAATCTTCATTGACACTGACATTGGCAAACAACTCTCACAATTCAATTTCTCAAAGCAGCCAACTACTTCGAACCCAGAATAATTATATGCGGCAAGGAACAGTTTTACTTAAAAAAAAAGCCCACTAATGTTACATGAATGTTATCCCAAACAAGGTAAAACTACACAACACAATGTAACAAGGATTTTTAGATTTAGATATTAGAAAACCAGGGAATAACAGGCCATGCTTACGACCGAGACTCCTCAGTCCTCAATTTTCATTCACTCAATAGAATCCTTCACGAAAAACAAAAAACCCAACGACAACCAGAAATTAACAGACACTCGAGGGCCTGTGTTTCCTCAAAGCGAGGTCCGCTGTACGGTCTGTCCCTTAAAACTTCATTTAACTTGATATTTGTTGTTACCTGTGTCTGTAAATAACATACTTCAACTTCTCTCTGATAATTATCATTGGGATAACGTCACTGAATTTGCTGTTTGTTTCAATAATTTGCTTTTTACATTTATAGTGCACTACATATGTTTTTGCTAATTTGTATATTTCTTTTTCTGTCGAACTCTCTGATAATGCTTACTGAGATAACTGAAACTAGAAAATAACGCGTGAGCCTTTTAAAATGTGTCCTGGGTTCATTCCCCGGTCTGGGACAAATGTTGAGATGGGTGTTATCAAGAAATACTGTATTGGGCCTACAGGGGGATGGCTTCAAGAATGGTCGAAGAAATGGCTGCTAAGATTCAATATCACGAAGTGTAAGAGGATACACCTGGGTCGTACCAACGGTAGGGACGCGCATCAAATGCCCCAACGGGACGAAGAAACTGTATTAATGGAGACTGAATGCGAAAAGGACCTGGGTGTGTATGAATGTATGATGACAATGAACTAAAGTTCTCGGGCCATTGTGAGAAGGGAGGTGAATCAAGCAACTAAATTATTAGGTCTTATAAGAAGGTCGTTCAGATATCTAGACGGTCAGTCCCTCATAACGATCTTCAAGATTGAGGTGCTTTCCCGCTTGGAGTACTGTCACCCCGTCTGGTCCCCGAGACATGCTAGGTACTGTCAGTTGATTGAAAATATCCAAAGGAGGGCCACCAGACTGGTGCCTGCACTTCGGCACCTCAGCTATCCAAAGAGATTAGAGCGCCTGCAACTGCCTAGCTTATACTACAGACGGGCAAGGGGCGACCTAATTGAGGTGTATAAACGTCTCAAAGGGTACTACTCAGTCGAGTGTCCATACCTGGAGCTGGCGGACGCCCACCCCACAAGGGTTCGCAGCTCAAGGTTGAAGAAGCCGCAGGTCTAGAAAACTGTGAGGGCAAACTTTTTCGGAGTTAGAGTTGTGAACTCTTGGAACAACCTGCGAGAGACGGCACCGAGTGTAGGCTTTTTCAAGACATGACCAGCACTGGAGCAGGTTCAGATACATATAGTGTTGTCATTCAGATTTAACTGTTACCTAGTTCAGGATAAGGCCAGGCCAAGGTGCAAATATTACAAAGGAAATTACAACGGGATGAGGGAAGAGATGAGGTGTATCCACTGGCCTGACTCATTGAGGCACAAGAACGTAGACACTACGCTGAATATCATAACTAGTAAAGTGACCCATTTGATCGATAAATATATACCCAAGACCAAACCCAGTGCTTCTAGGAATACGAGGGAATCCCTACACATGAACCATGCGGTGTATATATATATATATATATATATATATATATATATATATATATATATATATATATATATATATATATATATATATATATATATATATATATATATATATATATATATATATATATATATATATATATATATATATATATATATATACTGTATATAACGAAGAGAACAAGGGTAAACACAAACATCTTGACCATGTGGGCTTCTTTTAATCGCTAACGTTTCGGAAATAATCGTTTTCCATCATGAGCCTAAAAATAAAAAAGTTTTGAAAAAGTAAAAAAAAAATACAGGTGATATACAATAATGACGAGAGACTTACATACAAAGCTAAAATCAAGAATAAAAAGTATGAAATAAAATATACAGGGGGGTATTGCCTTAATTCCGACGAGCCTTAGTGAGAAAAACACTAAATAAGACACTTGAGACATTTGACAACTCGCATCCATGAACACTTGGGCCGTTCCGTTCGAACAGGCCAGTTAATCGCACAACCACCACATTCAGCAATTCGTAACCACGCCCACCACATGACCACCCGTTTTCGCTGTCTGATTTCTCAGTTCTTGGCAGGAGCGACTGTGATACAGACCTCCTCATTATGGAGGCATTACACCAGTATAAAGCAAAGCCATCCCTTTGAGATATGGCCTCTAGTGAATTGTTGTGTTTTTCTCACTAAGGCTCGTCTGAATTAAGGTAATACTGTGGGGTACGGGTTATTTGGTTCACACTCAGGATGGGATGGAGAAAGGAAACTCACAATGTGCTCTCTATATACATGTTGTATTGGATGTACAATGCAGCTTGGTGCTGGGAAGGCAGCATGGTTACAAGCGTGATGTAGAGAGAGCTGGTTGGTGAGGGTGCTCAGAGGACAGCTTGTGGGTCGCCATGCTCGCCAGCGGGAGCGAGGACCGCCAGGCAGGAGCGGAGGAGGTGGTGTTGTGGGGTATAATTTGGGTTTGTGTTCACACTCAGGATGGGATGGAGGAAGGAAATAGTTGACCACCTCATGTAAGGCGGCGCTGGTTGACCTAGACCACGAGGCATACACTGGGGAATTCTCAGGGTCGGCTACTCAGCGACAAGCGTTTGTAGGGGAGGAATCCACTACAATACTCCCCTGTATATTTTATTTCATACTTTTTATTCCTGATATATATATATATATATATATATATATATATATATATATATATATATATATATATATATATATATATATATATATATATATATATATATAGATAGATAGATAGATAGATAGATAGATATATATATTTGAATTCAACTTTTCGGTGTAGGATTCAGTAAGTACACTGTTATAATATATTTCAATAAGCATGAAACCACAAAAGTATTAATCCTGTTTCAAGTGCAATGTTTAAAAGTCATTTCCGACAGTATTCTAGATATAATGTTACTATTAAACACATATTCCCCTGCACTATATAGGTTTAATACTTTACTCAATTCGGTTAATTGGTCAAAGTTTTTGCTTCACTTAATCTTATCAGTAGACTGAAAATATATTTATTTTATGTCATGCATAACAAAATAAAAATCTTTACTTAAAGATAAGGTTTTTTTTCGTCATTTACTTTTCCCTTAAGTACCGTTAACAAGTTTGGGATAATTTAGAGGATCTTAACCTTCAAGGGAACCAAAACAAACACCAAAATATATAATGTTAAAATGAATACACAACCTAGGGTACGCAACTGTCTTTTTTAGGCGACAGGGACAATTTATAAAAAACTTAATCAAACTAAAAAGATCAAAATGATTATAAGATTCGTCATTTTAATTTAGGTTAAGCCCAGGTTTTCTACCTTTAGGAAAAATAATTGTGAATTAAATATCCTGTCCGTTGTACTTCTTTAACACTAATCATCCTGCAAACAAACATGGCTCGGCGTGGTAATGTTAAAGTTACTGAAGAAAAACAAGAAAAACTTAGTTACTTGCAGCCGGAAATTCTTCAAATGCAAGTGATGGTAGATCTTCTAAAGGAGGTGTGTTATAGTATTATGGTGGAAGAAGTTGGTACATAAAATTGTAATAAGTATTTCTTTATACCGTGACTCGTTCAGGGTAATAGGGGATAGTGACTGGAAAATATAGGAGCTGCTGTTTGAGGGTGTATGGTTTATTTTAATTAAGGTTGTGTTGTGTGTGTATGTTGATGGGTGAGAAAGAGGCCAAGGTGCCTCTTTTAATACACTCCTGAGGATACACCCCATTTCGTCACCAATCCATTAAGTCACCAACCAGGTTCGTCACCAAAACCCCATTTCGTCACCAATATCAAATCCGTTTCGTCACCACTAACAGTCGCTGGTATTAGTGACAAATTGTAAGTTATTATTTTACACTTATAGAAATTACACATGTATACATATGATTCGAGGAGTATTGTTATTATTATACATGAATATTAATTGTTTAATAAAGAAAACGATTCAACATTGGTAAATAAACAAAATACAGAACAAATGAATGTGATTTGGCACCAGCGCATAAACCACCGAGCAGCTAAAAACAATCTCGCTCTACCCTCTTCTTCACACAGAAGCCTCAATGGTTGATTTCCAATTACAACTAGCTGCTGAGCACAAGCTAATATAGTGCACAAGAAAAACAAATCATGACAAACAAGTCCATCTCTGGAAGCTGTGGGATGAATATGAAGAAAAGATATAGGTAAATTTTTACTTTAGGACATGAGTTCCGTGGGGTTGACCAATATGTTTTCCGAGTGCATTTTTGGCGGAAATTGCTAGTTTTTGCCCCTCCACAACAATAATGGGGGAGAACCCTTTGGGGAATCGGGTGTTTTGGGTGGGGGAGAAAACGAGTCATCTGACCTAACAAAACCTAACCCCTAGCCGGGACGGAGCGGGAGGCCTAGCTTAAACTAACCTAAATGTTTCAGTAGTTTAAAACTTTGGGGCACACCATGTCCGAAAGTACAATACCTTAATTAGAAGTGGAAGGACCTGGGATAGGTTCAGGGTCATCGACCTCCGCCTCGTCAGACCCTTCTTTGAGTGACACAGGTGCAGCACGTTCCTGGCGAGGGTGGCTGAGCGATTGCAGAACCGCTGGTTATTGTCCTTTCTAAATTTACACAGTAATTTACAGTGCGGGCACTCACCGGACGTAGGGAGAACACTGATTACAAAAAAATTCGATAGTTATATTGTCTTTTTCATAAAATTCGGCAATAAACTTAAATTAATCATATGAGCACGATTGACACCCAACCATTGAATTTCAAATCCGTACCCAGGCTGCTTTGAAAACTGCAAATGGGATTGGTTCAAAAAAAAGTCGCAGGCTGATATCGATACATCATTGGTCACGATGCTAGGTCTCGCCATTTCCTCTAATACTGTATGTCATGGAAGCCACACATCCACTACATTGCTAAGCTGCCTCCCAAAAGCTGAGAATGCTGTACAGATGCCGTAGCTACTTCACTCCTGAGCAGTTGCTTCAAGTTTACAGGTATAAGGGATTCATTGGTCCTAACTTGAAGTACTGATCTCATATCTGGGGTGGCTCTTCTTCTCTCCAACTGTTAGATAGGGTGGAATCAAAGGCATTTCATCTCATTGACTCTCCTCCTTTAGTTGATAATCTTTCTTCCCTTTCTCTTTGCCACAATGTTGCTTCACTCTCTCTCTTTTACAGGTGCTTTAATAGGCAATATTCGGTGGATTTGGCATCCTGTGTACCGCCGGTAAGGCCGTGGGTTCGTAACACTCGTCTTGCCCGCGGTGCCCACTGTTTCTCTGTGGATGTCGGTCAGGCTAGAATAACCCGTTATAGTACATCCTTCTTTCCTCACACAGCCAAACTGTGGAATGTTCTGCCTTCTTCTGTGTTTCCATACTCATACAATCTATCTCTTTAAAAAAAATGGTTTTCCAGCATCTTCGTGGTGTAGATTAATACTGTATGGTCTTATTCTTTTCTATTTTTAATTTCCTTATACAGTACTCTTATTTTTTCAACCCCCAGGTCCTGTTGTGGGTCGATGACCTCTGCCCGGGTGGACTCTTCCCCGTAAAAAAAAAAGGGAATCCCTCTTAACTGGAATTCTCCAATAGCCGGAATTTAAATTTGTTTTCAGAAAATCGTTTCTAAAGCCGGGTTTGGGAATGCTTTTCCGAGGGGCACATTTTCTGGAAAATTCTGAGAAAATTTTCCCCGTACCCGGAAAATTCTGGGGATGGGGTTTTTCCGGCTTTGAGAGTCGTCGCATTACCCAGATAAAGGAGAAATCACTGTACAACCTAAGGTCATAACAAAATGCTTTTATTTAGTATCCACAACAAGAACGTATCATTTAGTACCCAGCAAATTGAGGAGAGCATCCCAGAAATGTATGTGTAAGGTGTTGAATAGGACAGTTCTTCTTAAAGCTTTTTCAAGTGAAATATATTCTGAGATGTCCCTCAACTCTAACTGATTTATTTTTGCAGAGAGGAGTAAAGTCTCCTGGTCTACAACAGGCAGATAGAGCTCGTATAATCGCTCTGTTTTATAAGTACGTGAGCCCAAAGCATCAACGTGAATACCGGGACAATCGAAGGGGAAAAATTTTGACCAAGATGAGAGAAAAAAGAGAGAGGAAGACGGAAGTGGAGGACTGGCAGAAGTAAGTAAGCAGTATTTCTTTACCTGGTGTTAGGCAGTGCAATTTTGTGTATCTTTTCTGTTTAAAAAAATATAAAAGTTTTGTATTGTGTTCTACTCATGTTAAAAAGATATCCACATTACTTGATTTGCCAGTGAGACTTAAACAATACATCTCACTTCCACTTTAATACTATACAAACTACATAGTACAGACTACTGTATAATACTATTCAAACTATAGTGCATAATATAGATTACGTATCGTATACACTGGACCCTCGCTTTATGCGCATTCATTATCTACAAATTTGTATTTATGTGGTGACCGTATTTCTATCCACAATTCAATTTATGCAGAAAGATTCCTTATTATGCGTTATGTGGAAGACATGGGGCACTAGTTTTATATTATATTATCTTTATTTCTAAGCCACATTATAGTATTTTAATGATTTTTCTACAACTTTTATATCGTTAATGCTCCAGAAATGGTTGTGAAACATGGTACACTGTGTGTGTCTATTGTGCTGTATGTGACGTCACAGGACGCGGTTGGAGTGGTGAGTCAGCCAGTCCACACACTTTCACTTTCCACACAAGTACCCATGCTCTTCATATGTCTTGGTTTATAGATTTATATTATATTATCTTTAAATCTAACCAACCTGAGAGTATTTTAATGATTTTTCCACACCTTTTATAGCACTACTGTTGACTTCAATAGTTGTGGAACATATCCTAATTTCCCCCATAAGATTAAGTATTCGCTTTATGCGGATTCCCATTATGCTGTGTTGTCGCAGAACACAACCATAACATAAAGCGAGGGCTGGGTGTACTAAACTTATTACTTATGTACACAATAGTGTCTGTTTCTTCTAACTGGAGGGACTTGTTAGTATAGGAGCTCATTTAGCTATTTATGAACATTTGACTGACAAACTTTCAGACATGAACAAACCTGTCCAGATGTTCAATTGACAGTTCAAGCCATTTCTAAATTATTTATATATTAAAATACAGGGTACTGTACTGTTAAAGCCTGGTATGATAAACTATAGAGTAATTTGCTGTACAGTATTTATTATTGGCTAAAGTTGTACTATATATTCTTTAATTATTTATTTATTTATTTATTTACAACAGGAAGATTGGACTTGTGAACAAGCCTCAAGAATGTAACTCATTAAACACCTGGCATAATAATCTGAACAAAAACAGACATATTTTAACAAACCGGTTTATGAGTGTATTCCAACAAGATATCAGATGAGCTCAGTAAACAACATAGTGTCATTGTGGTTCTGCTTTGACCATTTGGACTGTAATGTGATGTGCTGAAAGACTTGTACAGTACAGGACATTTTTAGTGGTACCTCAGCCTTCTCTCTCCATATAGTCCATTAGATGGCTGATTTCATGTCTAACGGACCCTCAATATAATGGACTCCTCACCATATAGTCCGTTAAATAGGGGTTTCACTCTACTGTTGTCTGTTTTAAACAAGTTTGATACTTGTTTAAATCAACAATGTTCCTTACTTTTTATTCCTTGATATTCATATTCTTTTGGAAGGGGACATTAATATATGTGCATGTGTGTGTACAGGCGGTCTCCGACTTTCGAACAGGTACAAACTTGAAATTTACAGTATTTTATTTACCTGATGACTTATTTTTTACTTTCATTTACTGTATGTTGTCATTCTGTTTCTTCTTTTGTCTTGATTTAAGTGATTTTAGATGTATACAAAGACTTATGCTATGATATACAGGTAGTGGGATTTTAAACATTGTTCTGTAAGTACAGTATGCACCAGCATGTGTTCCGACTTGTGTACAAATCCGACTAAAGAATGCCCTCAGGAACGGAACCCGTTTTAACCCGGAGACCCCCTGTACTGTATGTGTAATAATAATAATAAGTTACGGTTTATTGGAGGAACATGGCAGCCAAAGGACTAAAAATATGCAGTTACATGGGTGAGGAATGGGTCACTTGATTGACAAATAATGTACAAGTAACATAAGTAATACAAATATGATATATATTAACAATGGGGGAAGAGAAGGTCATACAACAGGGAAATTCAACATAGTAACAGTGCAAAAGTAAGATTGGCAGGGAGTGAACGCACTGGTTATCTACGAGTTGTTGATAATTTTTTCAGTGATTGGGAATGAGCTGTTCTTAAGCGATTAGTATGGGCTGGATGTGTGTGTGCATGCATGTGATATTAAAATTTTGTGACTATTTTGGAAAGTCTTGGTTCCTTCAAGTTTACCATAGCACACTTGCACACTGACTAATTTGGGCTGAGAAACAGTTTCAGTCTTGGTTTAAATATTTATTTCTGTCTAGTGTAGAAGTTTGTCCTTTTCTTGAGTACTCTATATATAAACAAACTACTGTATATAACTTTATGAGTCACACGCATTCTTAATTTTAACAGGCTTGTTATGGAATCGAAAGGAAGATCTTCCCTTCTGTCCTCAACCAATACCATTGAGGGTGACTCAGCTGCTGCTGGAGAGCGCTTGAAGCCTCCTCCTTCATGCATTAATCCTGAACGGAAAGTAATCAAGTTGAGTGGCACAGCCAAGACCTCGGGTTCAAGCCTTGACTTTATTGTCATCAAGCGACGGAATTCAGAGGAAAGTGAGCCGTCTCCAGATAGTAAAGTACAGAGATTGTCACCTGGAGAGAAAATCTCTGAGCTCAAGAGAAAAAGTACAGAATCACCTGAGAATGAAATGAAAAAGTTGAAAGCGGTGAATGGTGAAGAGAAGTCACCTGAGAAGGTAAATACATGTACTGTACAATGCTGAAAGTGTTAATGTTTTTAGCCTTTAATTTTTAGCAATTAAGTGTTTGTGTCAGTAAATCTCAAATTCAGCAACATGAATGTCAACTTTAGTCCCAATATTTACATAAAGGGAGGATATAAGTTAGGGTCTAAGTGAAGCTGTAGAGTCAACTTCTAAGAAATTAGTTTGGAATAAAAAATGGAGGAGGTGCATGGTAAAACACAAACAAAAGAAGCAGTGGCAAGGAAAAGACTAGTATGGAGGAAAAACATGCACAGATATATGGAAGATGAAGTGAGAGAGGGAATGAAAATATGGAGAGGAAAATAAAAGGGTAAAGAAAATAGTACACAGTATTTTGGAAGGAAAGGTTGAAAATTTGAGAAATTAAGCAGTGATTTTGTAGGAGATGGAAAATAGTTTACTAAAAATATGAAAGAGGAAGGGAGTGACAGCAATTGAATAAAAGATAAAGTGATATTAATGGAAATAGGAAAGATAGTTTGTAGGTAGAAGGAATATTTTAAAGATTTGATAAAACATAATTATAAAAAAGATAAATATTTCTTGTTTGGGTATTGAAAATGGAGGAGGGAAGTAGACACAGAAGACATTATCTTAAGAAGAGATAAAAATCGCAGTAGGCAAATTAAACCCTTGGGTAGGAGGGGTGTCTCTTTACTGAATAAAACTGTCTGGTGGTAACCAAATAAAATTTTAAAAGTGGCATAACTTAGTACAGTGATCCCTCGGTTAACGAGCGCCTCGGTTAACGAGATTTCGGTTAACGATTTACCTTCCATAAGATTCTTAACTTCGGTTAACGAGCAATCCCTCGATTAACGAGTTTTTTACGAGCCGACTTCAACATGTTTTCGCTTGCATTTGGCGGTCCACCAGCTGTAGTATTAGTCCGCCAATATAGTAATCGGTTTTTGGGCTTAAGTTCCTTACTATTTTAGTAAATATCAAGAAGTTTATACTATTCAATAATTTTAAAAGTTTAATATTAACTTTTTTAGTCATTTTAACAATTATTGAACATAATTGAAGGTAAAGAAACTAGTTTTATGCACGCCATCCAGCCTGTCAACACACCAAACAGGCATCAGTCTTTGTGTCTTTTCAGTGGGGGTAACATCTTGCTTGAGAGACTCTTCAACTAAACGCTTTTTTTCTGTGTTTCCAAGCAAATTATTGGTCATTTTGAAATTTATTTTACATGTTGACAATATATAATGCAGTGCAGTGTTGATTTAAAGAAAATAATCTTGAATTACACCAAAAGAACTAAAATTTATTGGGTGAAATGGTGCCATGGGGTGACTTCTCTTCCACCCCAATGCCTTCTCTTCTCCCTTCTCCTCCACCCCCATTCTAATTCCCACCATCATCATCCAGGAGCCTTCTACATGCACACCTCAAAGTAAGTGTACTTTTCTACCTTTTTCGTTGAATTTAGGCAATTTTCGGTGAGCTGGAACCAATTACCCAAAAACCCATTGAAACAATGGTTTCAGTTAACGAGTTTTTCGGTTAACGAGCAACCTGCTGGAACGGATTGTGCTCGTTAACCGAGGGACCACTGTAAAGAGGTTAGGTTAAGGAAAGCCCTGGGAGTGGATGGTAATAGGGCAGAGATATATATTGAAGCATGGAACGAAGAAAATGTTAAGCATCCTTTAGGATAAAATGTACAGCAGTCACATATTGCAATATTTTGTTTTGTGGGATCACATTGCAATACAGTATAGCATGCCCTGGCAATTCGCGAACTTCGATTATTCGCTGATGACACCCTGGATGTACCCAAGAATGTCTAAGGGTAGTTTAAAAGTTGCTGGCATTTTCGCGGTCGGGACAGGGAGCCATTCGTTCTAGAGACAGTAATTTCTTTTACCTGTACTGTATTGTATATATATATGTGTGTGTGTGTGTGTGTGTGTGTGTGTGTGTGTGTGTAAACTCACACATATTTTTCTACTTTTTCCCTCCATAGATAATACATCAATAAATACCAAAAAATCTCCCTCAACTTGCCAAAATAACTGCTGCTTGGAACAGAAAATAATCAAAACACCTAGTTCAAACAATTTATAATACAGGTTGAACCTCCCTAATCCAGTACTCTATTGTCCGGCACTTCCCATTGTCCGGCAAAATTTTCGTTAGCCAGATGGCCTCCAGTACCCACCGGCGCTAGTATCCATGGTTCGGCATACCCTTTGTTTACATCTGGTCCTCGTGGAGTTTGGTGCGTTCCTAGGTATTTCAAGTTGTGTTCTGACTTGACTAGAGGCAAGGTCACGGCAGGCTTAGCTCCCGGGTATTAATTGTCAGTAATGGCTAGTGCTACTTGGGAACAGGGCTGTGCCCTTCAGAGGGCCGAGTTAGAGTTAGAGAGGGCCAAGGAAGAAATCTTGAATTAAATGGAAGTGATAGTGAGGATGAAGGAGAAAACGAGACAAGGAAAGCCCGTGTCTGACGAAAACTCAGGCGAATGGCAGGTTGTGAAGAAAGGGACGACAAAACTGGTGGTGAAAAAACACACCAAGATGGTGAAAAGACTCGCCAAGGATACGACAACAACAGCTAAGTGTACCAACTCTTTCACTACTTTGATAGACGAATTGGACGTTAGCGTAGTCAGGGACAAGGCTGACAAAGAAGGTACGAAAACCTTAATTGTTGGCGATTCCCAGGTACGGTACCTGGACAGAGCTTTTTGTGGTAAAAATAAAAATAGGATGAGGGTGTGTTTGCCAGGAGCTGGGGTGGGAGATGTAGTTGACAGGATGGACAATATCTTGTCTGGTAATGGGAACAAACCCATTATTTGCCTCAGTGCAGGAGGCAATGACATTGACCGGTGTAGGAGTGAGGAGCTTCTTGATAAGTTCAAGACAGCTATAGAACGTATTAGGTCGAAGGGAGGGATCCCTATCATATGTGGTGTCCTTCCTAGAAGGAGAGTTGGCAATGAATGGTTGTCAAGGGCAGTTGGTGTCAATGTCCGTCTTGACGGAGTTTGCAAGTCAATATCAGTCCCATTCATTGACAACTGGGACAACTTCTACGGCAGAAGGGACCTTTATGCTAGGGATGGGGTGGCAACCTTGGCTGGCTCTCTCGAGAGGGCAGCTCAAAAGATGTCGAAGTCTTTAAACTGCTTGGAGAACATATGAGCACGGGGGTTTAGGAGACTGCAATGGGAGCGGGTAAACAAAGGGAAAGGTTACAGGGAAATAGTGCTAGGAATTATGACAAAACTAAATTAGGCAGGGAGTTAAAATCCAGACGCGACAAAGAGAGAACTCGGAACATGACTAACTTAAATGTCTACTACGCAAACAGTAGAAGTATGAGAAACAAAATGGATGAAATCAGGGCCTTGGTATGTACCGAAAAAATCGATATAATAGCATTCACCGAAACATGGATAAACCTAGACTCACGTGAGTTACCTATCGAATACCAAATTGCAGGTTACAAATTATTCCATACCAATAGGCAGATTGGGAAAGGAGGCGGAGTAGCAATCTATGTCAGGGATAATCTGAAGTGTGAAATTAATAATGAAATAAAAACTGAGCAGAATACAGAAACAATTTGGATAGAATTAATCGATGGTGGGGAAAAATTAATCACAGGAGTAATATATAGACCTCCTAATCTTGATAGAGTTAATGAGCGACTTCTTTGGGATGAAATGAGCAGGGCTTCCATACATAGCAAAGTCTGTATAGTAGATTGACCTTACGGGTAACTCAGAATCAGAGGATTTTCTTTAAACATTCCAGGACTGTTTCCTAAGCCAACATATAACCGAACCCACCCGGGGTAATAATATACTCGATTTAGTTCTGTCAAACAGAGAAAACCTCATCATTAATGACGAGGTAAGGAACGAACTTGCTAACAGCGAGCACAAAGAAATTAGATTCCAACTAGAATTTCAGGACAGCCGCAAGAAAAATTCCTCTAAAGTTTCAGATTTCAGAAAGGCAAACTTTGAAGAGGCAGCTGAGAGAAGGGGTATCACACTTGGGGGTGAATTACCTGACCTCACATAAGGTGACCTCACACAATGTACCCACAGAGAGCGACCTCACCTTACCTGGAGATCTGACGTTTGAGGATGACCTGATAACGAGATCTGAGGTTGACGAGTTCCACAACAATTTAAATAATGAGTTACTTAATGCACAAAGGCAGAACATACCATACAGAAAACTCAGATCAAACAACAATGACCCTAAATGGATAAATAATTATTTAAAGAATATTATTGGACAAAGGAAGGCTATAGGTAGGAGAATAAATCGTGGTGAAGTCTACCTTCGAGATTATTATAAGGTATTGGCCAGTAGGGTTAAGACCAAGATAAGAAAAGCAAAGAGGAATGAATAATGAACTGAAGATAGCAAGGGAGGCGAAGTCAAACCCCAAGGGATTCTATCAAATGTATCAAACTAAAACACGAGAAAAGATTGGACCAATACAGTCAGATACCGGCCAGCTTACTGACAACGACGGAGAAATGATCAATAATCTGAATAAATATTTTTCAACAGTTTTCACCACCAAAAATTTAAACATGATACCCGAGGCACCGACTATATACACAGATAGTGAAGAAAAAAAATTAAGCGTCCCGATGAGATATTTGCCAGAGTATTAAAGGAATGTAAGGAAGAGCTTAGTATGCCCTTAGCAAAGTTGTTTAACATATCCTTAAAAACGGGTGTAGTACACTACCAGAATCCTGGAGGATAGCGAATGTAATACCGATTTTCAAGAAGAGAGATAGTTCACTATCCTCTAACTACCGCCCAATCAGTCTAACATCAATTGTAGGCAAATTACTGGAAGCAATCATTTCAAACTATTCGAAAACACCTGGAGAAGCACAAGCTGATCCATGATTCCCAACATGGCTTCACAAGCGGGCGTTCAGGTCTAACTAATCTATTAACATTCTTTTCATCTGTTTTCGAATCAGTGAACGAGGGGCACAATTATGATGTGGTATACCTCGACTTTAGCAAAGCCTTCGACAGAGTCCCTCATGAAAAACTAATAAGAAGAGTGGAGGCTCATGGCATTAAAGGAGATATTCTAAAATGGATTAGGGCATGGTTACAGGACAGGAAACAGCGAGTGAGCATTAACGACATTAAATCCCATTGGAGCAACGTCACTAGTGGAGTTCCCCAAGGCTCAATACTTGGACCATTATTATTTAATATATACATAAATGACATAGATATCGGCATAGACAGCAACATAAGTAAATTTGCCGATGACACTAAAAGAGGGCGTGTAATTAAATCTGATGAGGACTCCGCAAAACTGCAGGAAGATCTAAACAAATTTTTCGAACTGTCTGAAAAATGGCAGATGAAATTCATTGTGGACAAATGTAAAGTACTCAGTATAGGAGATGTAAACAGGGAAACCAGATACAAGATGAACAACGATGTTATTGAGAAATCCGACTGAGAAAGATTTAGGAGTAATGATAAGTAGGAATCTTAAGCCAAGTAAACAATGTGTATTTGCTTGAAACAAGGCTAATAAAATACTTGAGTTCTTACAAAGGAGTGTTAATTACAAGACCAGCGAGGTCATCTTAAAACTATATCTTGTGCTAGTGAGACCTCACTTGGATTACGCAGTTCAATTCTGGTCACCGTATTACAGAATGGATATAGAATCCTTGGAAAGAATTCAGAGGAGAATGACAAGACTAATCCCAGGCATTAGGAACATCGAGTACAGAGACAGGTTAAAGCACCTTAATTTGCACTCCCTCGAGAGACGTAGAGTGAGGGGCCATATGATAGAGGTGTATAAATGGAAGTCAGGGCTGAACAAAGGGGACATTACAAAGGTACTCAAACTATCCAAGCCGGAGCAAACTCATAACAATTGTTTTGAATTAGACAAATTTAAATTTAGGTGCCAAATAGTTGAACATTGGTTTGGAAATAGAGTAGTGGATGAATGGAACAAGTTACCAAATATCATCATTAACTCGAATATGCTGGGTAGCTTCAAACATAGGTTGGATGGATATATGAGCAATAGGGGTTGGGTGTAAATGGGACTGCCCAGTATGGGCCAATAGGCCCGCTGCAGTTTCCTCCATTCTTATGTTCTTAAGTGTTTCTGAAATATTTCACTTGTTATTTACCCTTAATGTGCCTCCTAAGCATATTTATTTTATTATTTCATTTACTGTACAGATATTTTTTCTCCTTTACAGATGAACATCACCAATTTATGTACAGGTACCGTAACTATTTTGTCATTTTAAGTGCAGAATGAGAATTATTGTTTATATATTTTCGTTTATTACAATTACACTGTACAGTAGAACGTGGATATAACACAAGATATGTACCAAGGGAGGTCGCTTTAAACTGAATTCGCAATAAAACAGTGTTGTTTAAATGGAATAATTTAGTTTGGTACTTGAGAGAAACACAAAATACTAAAAAGACTGAGTCTACCCAGATGCACCTCAGCCAAATCTCCTAGAATAAACAAAACATTGTTTTTTGTAGTATTATGTTAAAACAAACACTCATAAATCAACACAGCTAAAATTAAGGGATGAGAAATGGTCCGTTTACTGGCTGGGAAGACGGGAGGGAGGGAGGTGAGGTGATATGTTTGACAGTTGATGCCAAGGTCTAGTGCTTATTTATTTATCTGTCCTTAAGAGTGACTAAGATTTTATCTCATAAAATGTCACAGAAGTGACCGGGGAGAATATAATTTACATTGCTGGAATTCTTATAATATATTGATTAATTTGAATATAATCGTGCTGTAGTTTGCACAAGACAAAAATTTTAGTTATCATTTAGTACATTATTTTGAGTACATGTACAGAACAGCTTTGCCCTTAGGACAGTATAGCATGCCCAGAGAAACATTAGGAGCAAAATTTTAAATGTGATGCGCCTGATGGCACATCGATAATACTATGTATTTTACAAAGACCACCTGTGGTTCTGAAAATTCTATAGTCCGGCACCGGTCAGGTCCAAAGGGTGCCGGATTAGGGAGGTTCAGCTTGTACTAAATTATGCCTCGGCATAACAGTACATTTCGTTGTCTTGTTTTTGATTACTGTAGTTGAGAGGATTTTCTCATTATTAATTATTTGTATGTATTTTGTGTGTGTGTGTGTGTGACACACACACAAATATACAGTAGAACCTCGATAAATCAAACTAATTGGGGCAGACCCCGGTCCGAAAAAAGTGAATACATGGGGGGCTGGAGATAACACTGCTTATCTGAGCTGTTTAAAGAAATTCAGGTGTTGTGTTATTACTGCACTTCTTCAACTAAGGTCTTTAAGGATATACCAAGATTATTAAAAGAATATTACATTAACAAGAAAAAAAGATATGAAACAGAACTCTCTTGGTTGAAAATGAGACGTGTAAGTCTGGTTGTCAACAACTGTTGTCACTGAGCTGATTGTTATTTATTGTAAAGTGTTATATGTAAGTAACCACAGAATTTGTCTTGTAAATAAAGAGAAAACTGTACTGTATACTGTACAGTACTATAAAGATAAAAATAAGAACAATTAAGTGTAGGAGTACAGTATATTGTATGTGGAAGACAAATATTTATCTGGGAGCAGCTGGCAGAGTGGAGGGGGGGTGGCTCCCTTCCCCTCTCTCCCAAAAGATTCCTGAACACTTCTTTATGCAATTCCACCACAATTCATAGGTAGTAGGCAGCTATCAAACAGGGAGGTACTACCGCCTGGGAAGATATTGGAAGCATAATGTATTGTCTAATGGTAGACCCTGCTTCCATATGGCATCACAAAAATTGTGACCAAGTCCCAGGTTGCTGATCTGACTTTCTGCCACATTTACACACAATTGCGGGGTCTCAATTGCTTCTCTTACTTTGACAACACAACATACATACTGTACTTGTATATTGTTTCTCACTATTGATCTTTTTTAAATTTTTGAATTTCTTTATTGTTCTTAATCATCATCATCATCATCAGTGTTGTTATTACTATTTAATTTTTTATTATAAATTCTATTTACTATGAACTTATTATTATTATTATTATTATTATTATTATTATTATTATTATTATTATTATTATTATTATTATTATTACTACTACTACTACTACTACATTTTCGCCCCCCAGGCTCCAATGTGGGTCAGTGACCTGTGCCCGGGTGGGCTAATCCCCGTAAAAAAATATAATTTAGGATCATATGGTGCCAGGTTGATAAAATATTATCCTAAAAGTACCAGCTTTCCTGAAAAAAGAATCCCACACTGAAAACCACGAGTTATCGTTTACAAAGAGCAAACAGCTGATCGGCTTATCATAATGTCTGTCTTCAACACTTCGTAAATTAGTTCAGTACAGTTGTGTATTTGTCATCATTTAATAAATACTATTGCAGTATATTTACCACCACTTAATAAATACTATTGTAGTGTGAGTAGCATCAATAAAGTATTATTGGAGTGTAAAGTATTAAGCATCTGTTTATACCCTGTTTATTCATTGATCATTTGTCTAAGTCTACAAGTAGCCAAACTGAGTCATCATATAACACTCAAAGGTAGTAAATAAAATTTTTAAGAAGGTGTCTTTAGAATTATCAAAATCAAATACTACACAGTGTGTTATAGTGACTCCTGTTGTAAGCTGGTCTGCTGAAAGCTCTCGCATGAATGCGTCTTGAGTAAATAACCTGATACAACTTTTCCTTTTATTTTCAAGTCATATTGCAAATTACTTACAGTATTGTATTTTTTCTATTACTGAAGATGTTATATTAGTCATGATGAACCATAAACCATAAGAGGCCAATCATATGAGAATATAATACTGAATCAATAAATAAATAAACCTGACAAATGTGGCAACACCTGATCAGCCCCAGCCTGCTTACATACTCAAGTGTCTTAGTTCTCAGTAGGCCTATAGCAAATCTGACAAGAACCACTGTACAGTATTCAGAAAGTGTTGTGCATATCATAAGATTTTTTATAGTATTTCTGGTGACCAGAGCATCTCCGAGTCCAAAAAAAGAGAATTAAGATATATTGAAGTCCAATTTATTGAGGTTTTCCTGTATATACAATACAGATAAAAGAAATAATTGTCTTCAGGTCAAACACATGAAGGGAATATACATTTATGGGCATCCTGTATATGGGTTGTTTACTGTACAGTATTCTCAAGTAGTATAGAGAATAGGAGTGGGAAAATTAACAAATGAATGTGGGGGAATAAAGGAGAAGATAAAAGAATGATGGAACCAAACTTTTATGAAGATAGTGAAAGGTTAAAATGATGATAATGTACTGTACTTGTAAGGGAGGCCAGATCAAGTCACAACCACTGTGACCACCACTTGCTGATGCAGTTGGTGAAAAGTTTGATTTTCCAAGTACATTTTGAATAAAAAGAAATAAGGTAATTAGCAGAAACAGTGTATGTGTGTGTGTCACCCAGAGCTACTACAGAAATCTGTATAGAGCTTGGTCTGTACTTAACAATGTTTGGAATGGATGTCTCTCTCCATTACCACTTTTTCTGTTTCAGGAATTGACTGAAAATGAGAAGAAGTTAAAACAAGAAAGAAAACTCATCAGTTGGCCATAGAAGCGTGAGTGTTGACAGTGTATAGTAAGGTAAACTGTTGAGAAAGTTTTTTTTTGTTTACATTTTCAATATTGTATGGGAAGGTTTGTCCAGTACAAGAAGATTTTAGCTTGTGTATGACCTTGACCTACCAGAGCTGTTTACTGTGTGGATGCCAAAGTAAAACAACCTTTGTAACTCAGTCAGGCCATGTATCTGAGCATATGCAATTGCTGACCATTATCATTGGCTTCTTACTATTACAGAGCATTGTAGTAACACTATTTCTTTTATCGTGTCGACAAAGTATTACACTTATGGGTAGTGTACTATGTTGCAGAACCAATTCCCACTAAGAGAGGCTGACAGTAGTTATTAACATACGTGTCAGTCATTCAATGTAAGCTGAAATGAGCAATGGTTTGAATCATGTCATATACTGTGTGTATATATATATATGTATATGCTGTATACACACACACACACACACACACACACTAAGAGAACAAGATGGTTAATAGGTAGGGTACAGTGCACATGAATTCCTCCTCTCATACCTCAAGTCCAGTCAGTCTTGATGCAATGAGAAGTTTAACAAACCCAACCAGGTACTATACTGTACCTCATACTGTACAGTACTGTACCACTATTGGCTCCCTTGGCTTTCAGACATTATACTGTATGTATCTTTAGAAAAAATAAAATAAATAATTATTTGTCTCATCTTCGGTAGATTTATATTGATTTTAACATTAACTGCAGGATATATATATGTGGTTTATACTGCATTATATTATCTGAATGTAAGTAAATCCTTGTACAGTATGCTTGACGGGTACCAAGTGATCCTCAACTTACTTGAAAAAAAGGTAAAAGTGGGTCCTATAGGCATAAGGGACAGAGTGGATACAGCACATTGTATACTAAGTCTTTGGTACAGAAGGAGGCAGTGTCGCCGGCACTGCACTCAACTGCCTTCACTTGGACAGGAGACTAGTGCTGTATTCACTCGACTGCCTCACTCCTTAAATAATTGAATGTTTAATTTGTCTCGGAAGTGGAATGGTAACACATCAGCTGAGATAGTTTTTTGTTTTGTGTGTTTCCTTTAATATCTTTCCTTTAGAAAAAATTCTCATTTTAATCTATTCTAAATAATGTGGGCAGTGAACTGGCATATTAAGTGTTCCTTGTGTCTTAGGAACTGTCTCTCTTGTAGGATAAAAGTACTTTATTGACTTGGAAATTCATGTCCTGTGGTGAAAGATATTTTTTTTTCCTGTAAGAACACACATACAGAGATTGCTATGACATTCATGTTTTGATTTAACCTGACATAAAGTTGTTACCTAAACTGATCCCTGCATAATAATGCCAACTTACAGAGGGTGGGTTCAAGAAGGTATAGTTAAAGCGCTCGGTCGTCTAGAAAGATATTTCTCACATGCTGTCTTCAGTCTTTCTGGTCTTAAAGAGAGTCCTGTTCATTGTTGCTTCAAATATCCCTCTCTCCTTAAAAGGCATTTTCTCGTGATCAGAAAATTTATTAACACTTCAGCCAAATGTCTCTCTCACCCACATATGAGTTACGAGAAAGTACTTTTGGTCTTATCTTTTTTATATACGTACTGTAGAAACTTCCAAAACAAAATGAACTGGATAGTCATACGTCTCGGTGAAGAGATCTGTCAGAAATACCATGACACAAAGTACATCACTCGCAGAAGTGCGCAAGGCTGTTCTCAGATTAATGGTTTATCTCATCATACTCATTTTTATGCAGAGAGGAAACTTAAAGGATCACACTCAATATGCTATATTAGCCACAACAAAAGGACCAAGCTTGTTCATTCCCTGCAAGTATTTAGTAAAGGGTTATGTCTCCACCCCATAAACCATGTACAGGCAGCCCCCTGGTTATGGAAAGTATGTGTCCTGGAAAATTTGTCCGTAACGCGAAACCAATTTTCCCATTGACTTCCATTATATAATTGGAGATGCATTCCCAAGGAAATATTTTTGGCAAAAAGATGTAATACAAGCACATTTATGAATTATTTTTTTTTTTACACATACATTGATTATTTTATTATATAATAAGATAATAAATATACATAACACTTGCATTTAACTTACCACAAACGATATTGAGTGCCGCGTTAGGTGAGGTGAGGTGGTGCATTCAGAGTTACTGAGGGGCACTACTGGCTCCTGCCTCGCCCTGTACAGTGGTCCCTTGGTTAACGAACACAATTCATTCCACAGAGTCGTTCGTTAACCGAAAATTTCGTTAACCAAATCCATTATTTCAATGGGATATTGGGTAATTGGTTCCAGCTCACAGAAAAGTACATACAAAGTAAAGCCAAAAACGCATAAAGTCAGAAACACTCCAAAAATTCCCCTAAATCGCCCTTAAATAACTATATATATACGTACATATACATTAGAACTCTTAAATCACTACTGTAATGTGATACAGGTGATTAATTTTTATTTCGTGTGCAAAATATATGACGTTTATATTCAAATTATTTGCTGCCTTGCAAGGATTCCAGCAATGCAAATTATATTCTCCTAACTTTAGTCTGTGATATTATATAAGATAAAAACTGTAAGCGGAAAACCCTGGCTGGGGGAGAGAGAGGGAGGGAGTGAGCCAGCAGGAGGTGAGGTGATATATTTGACAGTTGGAGCCGAAGGTCTTGTGTGTGTTTATTTAACAGTCCTTAAGTGACTAAGCTTCTCTCATTTTAAAATGTCACTGAAATGACCTGGGAGAATATAATTTACATTGCTGGGATTCTTGTAAGATAGTGATTTAATTTGAATATAAACAAGCTATAATTTGCACTAGACATAACAATTTTAGTACCATATTCATTTAGTACATGTACAGTACAGGTTTGCACTTCGGTCATTTATTTCTTTTACGTTTCTTTTAGTATGGTGTGTGCATGTAAATGAATAAAATAAATGAAGAAATTTATGTAAATCTGCCCAAAAATACAGTTGAAAAACTTTATATTACTAAAATGTACTACAGTACACTAATGTACTAAAGTTTTTATCTCGTGCAAAATATATGACGTTTATATTCAAATTATTCACTGTCTTGCAAGGATTCCAGCAATGCAAATTAAATTCTCCTAACTTTAGTCTGTGATATTATATAAGATAAAAACTTAAAGCCTACTGTATAACCACCAATCCCTGGCTGGGAGGGAGGGGGGGGTGACAGTGACATGTTTGACAGTCGTGCCCAAGGTCTAGTGAAGTATTTATTTGTTTATTTATGTCCTTTAGATTGAGTTTATATTTTTTGCTTACAAAATGTCATAGAAGTGACCGGGGAGAATATAATTTACATAGCTGGAGTTCTTATAAGATAGTGATTAATTTGAATGTAAACATGCGATAGTTTGCACTAGTCAAAAATTTTAGTAATCATTTTGTACATTATTTTGACTACATGTACAGTACAGCTTTGCCCTTAGGACAGTGTGTGCATGTAAATGAGTTTCAATAAATGAATAAAGTTACATATATCGAGCCAAAAATAATAGTTGAAAAGCTTTATGTAGACAGAGCTTGGATGGCTAAATTTTAGAATGACCAATTATTTTAAAATAAAAAATGCACAAATATTAAAGAGCACAATTTTCTTGATATTTACTCCACTGGAAATGAATGTAAACATAGAACAGATTTCTGAATTGGCAGACTAGCCCATCAGCTGATGCTCACAACAAAACGTGTTTGTCGTAAGGATTTCGTTAATTGAATTTTTGTTCATTAACCGAATTGAAGATCCTTATGGGAGGTAATTCATTAACCGATATTTCATTAATCGAACCATTCGTTAACCGAGGGACCACTGTACAGTATTGTAGCAACCACCAAGAAATCCACACAAAATAAATTGTATAATTTATGTGAATTTTTTTCCGTATCACGAATTTATTGGTCATAATTTACAAAATCCGTAAGAGCGAATTTCCGTAACCAGAGTTTCTGTAACCCGGGAGATGCCTATTGTCACTTTTTGGTGTGAAGGTCAGGCTAGTCATATGATGTCTCTCCCAGGCAAGATTTTGAAGAATGAAAGGAGGTATTCATGAGCATCAGCTTTCTAGAGCTTATCTTGTTCTGCTAACACTTATGTTGCCTGATTTGAAACCTGGCTATTTCTTTTTGCATTTTGTGCCTGACTTATTTTCAACAGCTGTCAACCTCTGCTGATAGTGACAGACTTCATATCAGCAATTCACCGGCAGCTCTCTGGGGGTTGTGTTGTCTCTCCCCAGTCACAAAGGGAGGATTTCACAAAATCGTTCTTGATAGAAAGTAATGATGACAAGTTACAGTACCCTGATAATACAGACAAGTTACAGTATCTTGATAATATGGGGATAAGGTAATAAACATTTTCCGCAGGTGGCGGTGACAATAAGCTCACAAAAGTTCATTATTTACTTGGGGCAAATTTTAATTTTTAAGACAAAACTTACCATTGTCAGTTAAAGTGCTTGAAATGGGATTGTAAGATGGGTTTTCAAAGGAAAATTGTGTCTACATTTTATTGACTGATTTAATTTATTTATACAAACCTTGTGAAGTTTGTAGGCCACAACCCCATAGTGATGTGAGGTCACTCACCTCACTACTAGAAAAACCACTTGTACAGTGACCTTTGTTAATACACTCAATCAAGTCTCCAGGCTTAACTGAACCAGAGCTTGAGGAAGGCTAAAGCTAGACACAAAAAAACGGTCATACAAACCTGGAGTCCAAGTGTAGCGTTCACTCCAGCATGAACTCGGTGCAGCCTCTGACCTCGGGCAGTCTGCCATATTTGCTTTAACTGTATTTACTTTATTTTTCCGTAGATAGTTTTTCTTCATTTTTGTTTCTTGTGGAATGATTTTATTGCAAACCACACTATGAATTTGTTAGTACTTTAGTGTATATGTTTGACTTTTTTATGTACAAGTACAGTATTGCCTGTTAGTGATGGTGCTTCACTTACAGTGAAAGATATTATTTACTATGCAGTTGTCAGAGATGTTTACGGTTTACTCATGTATTGGTAGGTCAATAACAGGAACAGCATTTAAGTTTATAACTGTATTTTCAATTAATAATCCACTTTTCAAAAAAACAAAACCAGAACATATGTACATTGTATGACAAGCGCCCTTCTCACCCAATTCTGTTCTCTTCACCGAATTGCTCCACGTATGCCACTACTCCCGATCGCCACTATCCCTTCTGTCGCCTCTCCTCCAATCGCCACTGTCTTTCCTCATTGCTTTTTCACCAATCACCACTGTCCCTTCCACTGTCACTCCTCCTACCATCATTTCCAGTTGTCACCCAACTGCTGCTTGTCACTCTCGTTCACTGCCATCCACTCAAGTTGGCAGTGCAGGTGGGATACTGTCAGAGCAAACAAGCACCGCAACATCCACCCTGCATTGGGAGCCTGAGGATATCAGGGACTGTCACGCCTCTGGGAGACTAATTTGACCCGCCTCCACATTGACTACACACAGCTGACTTGTGGGTTTTTTTAATGGAGAGGGCGCCGCCTCCCCATTGTGATGACTGCCAGGTCCCACTGACTGTTCAATACTTCTTGGTGGAGTGCCCCAGTCTCAGAGATCTTCATCATAAGCACTACTTCCGGTGCCGGAGGGGAGACGGGTCTTACCATCTCTCTTCGGTGCTAGGAGGAGGAGTGGGTATTGTGGGAGTGGACGTCCTCTCCTTCGTAGAGGAAGCCAGCCTTCTACACAAACATTGAGTATTATCTGTTAATGTTTAAATGTTTTTTACGGAAGTTCTGTGTTATTTATTACAGTAAGTCCTCCTTTAATGTCGGGGTTACGTTCCTAAAAAGCGACGTTATACAAAACAACGTTAAGTGGATCAATTTTCCCCATATGAAATAGATAAAATACGGGAGTTACGTTCCTGAGCCTCCCTTTGCCCCGTGAAAAACATTAGGTACATATACTGTACAGAAATTCATTGCCATTTCTATAGAAAATAGTGCATACATATACAACTACTAAGTTTGTATTGATACTCACCGATGGGCGGAGGTGGTAGAGCAAGTGTGTGGTGGGCAGTGGAGTGGAGGAGGAACGCAGGAGAGAAGGAGGGTGGGAGAGGAGGAGGGTGGTGAGTCACTGAGACTCTGCGGCTGCTTCCTCCTCCTCTGACTGGGGTTCCTCCGCCGCTGTTTGCTCCTCCTCGCTTGCAGACTGTTGTGAAATAACTGTATATTCCCTTTTACGTGTTTGCCC